TGGCACCTTCAAGTTCGTTAGAACGTTCTTGGCGATGCATATACAATACACGCTACTTTTTTCGAAAAGAAAAATGTTGAAAAAAAATGCGGTCAGATGTAGAATGATACGAAGGTTGATCCAGAAAAATGTGAAAAGGAAAAATTCTGATCGGTAAAAGCGTCGAACATAAAAATGTGGACAACTAAGATATTGATTGATGCAAATGTCGAAAGATAAAGATGCCGAATCATTCAAAGGTGGAAAGAATAGAAATTTTTTATCAGTTGATACGAAAAGTGTCAATGTTTATTTCATTTGTACAATCGTTAACCATAACGAAGGGTGAGTGTGTGCATATGTGTGTGTGTTCAAGAGCGTTAAATGTATAGATGCGTAGTGCGGCTTGCACTTGTGTGGGTCTACGTGTGGATATTGATGTATGTGTTGGAGTTAGGGGTATCTGGATGTCGATTTTCCCTACAATGAACCCCACACTCATAACTTCATTGTTATAACATGGTATTTTAACATTTTGACATTTTTACGTTCAACGTCTTCCGTGTCAACATTTAAAGCTTTCGAGATGTATAAGGCATGTCGAAAGCGTTAAATGTGTGGGTTTTGGTACCGCCGCATAGAAAACTCACACGCAGCCATGAGCACCCACACATGCACTCAGAGTACATATCATATCGACTTCCAACGCTACGCCATAGTCAATATTCAGCAGAACAATTATGATCTGAAATAAAATCCAAAGTATAATGAATTTTGGTGATGAAATTTCATTTTCTTTTCTAAAAAACAAACCGTCATCAAAGGCTAAAGAGCTTCCATGATTGCAATAAATTTTGAAAGATCGGAATTGTCAAATACCAAGTTGTAGCTTCCCAGAGGTTAGTTAAATACTTCTTTTCTGGCTAAAAGCTGTTGCCATTGGTTAATAGCTAGCTTTACTGAGTACATTTGATAGAAAAGTGGTGCTGAGGGTCTTCTTTAAGGGATCCACAAATGCGATGAAAAAGACAAGCTGACTATTGATGATGGGAAAAGAGTGATATCATTTTTTTTCTTACTAGTGGATGATCAGGGTGAATGAATCATTTGAATTACAGCTGGCGAATGTAGGATTTCCTTTTTGATCTATATCGATATTCATGATTGTTAGTGATAGTTAAACTCATCTTCTACGAAGGTGATTAAAAAGAGGGTATGTACGTTAGCTTTTTATTAAAAAAAAGTGTTGTAGTCGTTTCTCGTTCAACGATATTGAGCCTGCGGTAAATGGATCTCTTCCCTCATTCTTCTGTTATTCAAGAGTCTATATGATATGGTTGGTATGTAAACAGACATTTGAGAAAAAGGAAGATTCACGAAAAGATATTTTGAAGGATAACTCTCAAAAAAGGAGAAAGAAAGGAGGACCTCGTTTTTTCCTACGAAAAGAGTGTGTAGTGCCTCAGAGATGCAAGTGTGTGAGGGGTAATACTGGATACTAACAGCTCCTTTTAAGAAGAAAGGTATCTTGCATTTTATGAAGCGCCAACGCAATTTCATATGCGTATCTCAACGGAAAGAAGATTGCATTCTTAAGAGAAACCAGTTCGTTAAACGCGAAACCTAAAAACATTCTGAAAAATGCGAGACCGATACTTTTGATGTAAATGACAAGTGCACATCTCCAGTCAGGAAATGATGAAACAATATACTCGTTAGAATTTTTAACCAATACTTATTTATCCATTTCATTCACAAAATAGAACAATACCGAATACTGAATAGGCTGGACAGAATACTCCTAAGTGAGATTCAACAATTCTCATCTAGCACGCAAAAGTAAATTTTCCATGAAATTTATTGGATGTCTGCATAATTCTAGCGCAAAAACAGCAGACCTCAAAAAGAATTTTTCGATCCTATCAGCAAGTATTTGTGTCTCCGTCAGAAAATGATAGAAGCACTCAAAACTATTTTCAGAGGAAAAATAGTTGTTAAAGATACAATGAGAGCACAACACATATTTTTTTTTATTATGCTAAAAAGACTGTGATCTTACGATCCTATCAGTACATATGAGTTGACAAAGGAAGAAACACGAAAGAAAACAAACACAACAAGAGCAACAAATAAAAAAAAACAAAACAAAATCATAACAATAGGTTGAATAACAAAATAGTGAGGTCAAGAAAAGAAACATTAACACATAGAAACAAAGGATTCAGGAAAATCCTCAAGGAGTTGGATTTCATCAATCTCATAAATAGGTACAGAAGACAGAGGGGGATAGAAGCCATCCAGCCAACAATTTTTTCAATCATTGAATGGTGAGGAATAAACCTTTTTGATGTTCTTAGACACTTAATGGAAAATTGTTTTTCAATCCAAATCTGTCTGAATACGTTCAGATTAGCTTTTTCAAACAATAACTCACCATCAATGGAGTCTGCTAGAGCTGCAAGGTATTTCACCCAATAAGAATAGCATCTATCTTCGAGAGACTTCTCATCAAGAGCAAATGCGAAAAAATTTTCATTCCAATGTAGACAATACAGTACGCGTCTTAGCGAAGTATAATAAAAATGGCATAAATCTTGTTGCTGTTTTACAGAAAGAAGAGGATAAATCGGATAGATTCAGGTAAAAATAGGTAATACAAAGGATAGAAAGAGAGTCTTACGAAGATATAGAGAAGAACACCCAAAAATCTTAAAGGATTTAATCAAAGAAATTCTTTGCCTAATTTTAGTCATCATACATTTGAAAAATTTACCCCAACCCAACTTTGATGAAATTAGATAGACAATTGAGTATTGTTTGCATATATTAACTGTGAACTTTCCCAGGCAATGTCGGGTACTTCTGCTAGTAACTTTAAAAACGTAAGATTTTTTCATTTTGAGTAGAATTTCATGAAAAATTGCCAAAACTAAATCGTAGTATATTCAAGGATCAAAATTTTTTCCAAGTACAGTTTTTTTTGTATATTACTCAATATCAATTGAATTCTGAATCTGCAGACCTGATCACAAGTGGTATTTTGTGTTTGCAGGGAGAAGTTCTTCTGTCCATGGTTGAAATCTCGATGACAGGTTTGAGAGAGAAAACTAGAACTTTTGTTTTGAACTGAATGTATCTCGTTTTCTTGTCTTGTAAATACATACTATCTACTGTGTCTTTTTCCGTTTTCTTAGGTCTTTTCACTCTCATTATATTATAAACTAAACAGATTTCGGATATTAGATCATTTTTTAACTTCTATTTCTTTGTCTACGACTATGTAGATAAAGTGATATCATAGTTAAGTACATTAGAGACAGACCCTGCCTTTTGTGTCTCTTGTCTTTTTCTGAGCTCGATAATAAATACATAATCACATACGTGATCGGCTACCAATCGCTTTCATTTCTCAACTTTCGGAGTCTATATCGAATTTATATTAACAGCGGTCCTATTTTTCAGTATTGTGTTAGCCATGTCACAATTCTGAATAGGTTTAATCAACTGATCTTGAGTCTAATTCATACTAACACGGCCATCACTTACCTTTATTCAAATAGTTAAATGATAAACACTGTAAAGTTGAAAGTTATTATATTCATGAAAATTTTATACATAGAACTAGTTGGTTGTCAATACTGATCACGGTATTTGGTTCTATTAGAGTCAAACATGAGAAAAGTGTTGAATATATCAAAGAATTTTTTTTTCTCTAGGATATGTGTCGTTTATAATTTCTAATTGATTGAAATTTGAAAACTATATTTCGATCATTAATGATGTGAATAATTAAAAATAAAATAATTTATTTTAGGATGAATTAGCTCGTGTATTTGTAACAATATTTGATGCAAAGCATTTACTTCATCAATTATTATTAAACATATTTGCAAAAGAAGTTGAAATGGCTGATTGTTATCAAACAATATTACGTGGAAATGGTTTACCAACAAAAATTGTGTCATTTTGTTTTAAACTTCATGGTCCACAGTATTTATATAATTTATTTGCACCAAATATTAGCTAAAATATGTATAGCTGATTTAGGTTCATATGAAGTTGATCCATCACGTATTGAACAACATGAACAAATAGATGAAAATCGAAAAAATTTACGTTCATTAACACATGATGTTTTTCAAGCTATTATTGATTCAGCATCACAATTTCCAATTCAATTAAGAATTTTATTTTCATGTTTATATCAAGTTGTTCAACAACGTTTTCCGCAACATCCTTTACAAGTTTGTTATTTATTTCCGCATAGAAAGCCACTCAAAAAGGCAAGTTTTACTGATCTTTGTCCTTTTCAATCCTCTAGATCACAAAAATGCACACAGCTGCTACTCGCTTTGCTTATAGTTAAGACAGCTGATGATAAATAGTAAACCAGAGAGAGAATAAAGCACTGTATCGAAAACTTTCTAACTTCGATGATTTGATTAATCGAAATGTAAATTTTCCGATTTGCAGCACCAAAAAAGAAATCGTGATTCCACTAGTGGTTATCGTTTCGACAAAAGCATTTCATATTCAATTGTCCAAACGATTATTCATATTTTCGTAAATATCGATTTATCTGCCAATCGACACATCAGAAACTTCACACTGCATTTTACAGTCAAATAAAACTTATTGACTTGTTCGATGGATTTTTCAACACTTCGAGATTCTTTTTGAAGTTATTTTTATTG